TTTTCAACCATACGAACTGATAAATCAGTTTAATATAAACTATAGAGCTCATTAGTCAAAAGTCAACACTTTCAAAGGAGCGTTACACGCAGAGTCTAAAATGCCTCGGGCCTACTCACGCCCTATCATACCAGATAGTAGTAATTAAAAGTATTATTTTACATCATGATAGTAGATGAGCCCTATGTGGCAATATATAACAAGTCAACACATAGGACAAAAGCAGGGAGGCTATACAAGCTATAATAGCACACTATGCCTCCGGAGCCTTCCCTGATGGGCCACCACCTGAACTATCACCTGAAAATGTTAAACCACGGGGTGAGACAAACGCCTCAGTAACCAACTTTCCAACTCATCATACATACTAACATGTGCTCGTGAGGTGTCAAGTGGGATAATTATTAAACCTCAATATCTATATACCAATGAAAATACAAATATGTATACTCAAATAATCTCAATCATCCAAACCCTCATTACAGGGGCTAACACACAAGCCACATAAGTCTATCCCTCACGGTAGGGGATCAAACCGACCTATAGGCCTATCCCACACTTTGGGGAACGATTAAGTAGTCACAAAAGTCCATCCCTTATTATAGGCCTATCCCACTCTTTGGGGGACGAATAAAAAGCCACAAAGGTCTATCCCTTACTCTAGGGACGAAGGAAGAAGCCAACCAATGTGCACCAATGGCGGCCTTACCACGTGGTAGGATAGCGCTCAATCCAAAATCCAAATAACAAACAACCATTCACAATATAACAAAAATGTCTCAATCTTTTCCCAATATAATCCATAAGATATAAATCATATATCTTTTCCAAACTTCTCAATCACAATTCCAAAAATCCCACAAGACAATTTTCATAGCTCAAAAGATATAATTTATCTACTCGAGTTTCAAATAACGAATCATTATACCAAAATAGCAAAATACTCACAAACAACATATTAGCACATATAACAAGTGGAAAGTGGTTACCTCTCGCCAAAGCAATACTAAGGATTACCACAAGGTCAATCCTTTGCTCAACCAATAATTAATCTACACAATTAATATAACCACATATTAATATAAACTAATTAATTAATTAATTAAACTTCTCTATATTATTTAAATTTTTACTCTAAATTCCCGCAACTCTCATAACCCAAAAATTATTAAGTATTTTAGCAACAATTTAAAATTTCTAACAACCCCAAATTATTTATTTACCACCTCCAAATTATTTATCTTAATAAAAAGGATTTTCAACAATCTCCAAATATAAAATTATTATGTTCTAAATCCGAAAAATCTTCATTTAAGTTTAAACCTCAAAATCACACTATCAAAAATTCAATAATACTTCAAATATTTATAAATAAATAATCTAATCAAAACTTTAATGGTATAACTACCATATATATATATATTTCCATAAATAATAAACTTTTTAGCTACAATAATTATTTTAAAACCTCCAGTCACCCAATAAATAAAAATAAACCGATTAAAATCTTAATAATATGTTAAACACCTCAATTAAATTATTCAACTTAATTTTAATCGGTAAAATATGATATAAATCATATATCACATATTTTTCAACTAGAAAAATCCATTTAAGCACTAAAACCAACAAATGGACCAATCCAAACCGATTAAAATCTCAATAATATATCAAACAATCCAAATAAATTATTTAACTTAAATTTAATCGGTAAAAATATAATATAAATCATATGTAACAGATTTCTCAACTAGAAAAATTTATTTAAATACTAAAAACCAACAAATAGAGAAATCTAAACCGATTAAAATTAACAACTCATTTATTTCTAAATTTCTATAGTCATCTTTTGTCAAAACTCAGTACTTAGATCATATATAAGTCTCAAAATTTTCTCTAATAACTACAGTAATAATGTAAATATGAAGTTTAAAATATACAGGAAATATTTATAAAGAAAGTTTGATAAAAAGAAGTAATTTTATGTACCTAAAATATCTGCAAAGCTTGCCCTCTCCTTCACCGGTATGCTCCTCTCTCTCAAGCACACTCCAACTCTCTTTCTCTCTTCTCCTCTTTCTCTCACGCATTCTCATCTGCCCCTTACTCGCTCTTTTATCTCCATCTTCCCAACTACCTTTTTCATTTTTTTTCTTCTAGCAATAAATCCTTCTCCCCAAAGTCTTCATTCCTCCCATTTTTTTCCACACGTCTCTCCCAAATTTTCCACCCTCAAGTTTCAACTTTCCACCGAAAGTTGGTGGAAAGTTGACTCTTATATTTTTTTTTTCTTTTTAAAAATAATAGGATATTACAGATACTGCCCTCTCTAATAGGCCAACCATAGTGCGCGCTATGGAGGCAAACCACGTGGTAATATGTGTATATCAAGCTCCATCACCACACCTCTTCCCGAATATTAAACGAATTAATCACAGTCATGACAGTTCTAAATTCTCATCAGGTATCTCAAGAACATGTATCTTAGGAGATTCAAAACATACATTAACCATATAAGATACTTAATATCATACCATACAATAGCATTCTTAGATAATCAAGGGCATAAACATATCATTCCAGAAGCTCATGCTAACATATAAAACACAATCAAATAAAATAGCAACTTGGATAAATCGGCTTGGTCAACAAATAACCTTTCGCCACAACAGATTACACAGTACATCCCAAGTCCATAATTTCATCCAAAAATCACTCATCAGGCTCCTATCCAGTCCTAAAGTTGTAGCAATTCATTCATTTTTCACAAATCACTCCCATCAAGAAACTTCCAAATGTCTATAAAGTTTTCTGATAGTTTCAAAACAGCTTTCCTATTCTATATTATTCAAGCCTATCCTAAAAGGGTTCAATTTAATTAAAAACTCCTCTTATAGAAACCGATAGGAGAAAACAAGTAAGAATTCACGTTACCTGGTGTCCAACAAGTGCTTACAAGTTAAAGATTAAGACCATGAACTTGGGATCATCAAACCAATTATCATATCTATAAACAGAAAACATATGTTACTACAGTATCTTATGGGTAATCTACGTATCAAATTTTAATCCATAACTCCCTCTTTAAGGTTTCCGAATTGTTACTCAGAATTCTAGCTCGTACAATTTTTCTAAGATCTGGAGTAAGAACATGGATACTATGCTTTAGATTCAATTCTTAAGTTTCTTTAGCTTATATTATCTTTAAATTTCTAAATCATGCTATTATAATTTATTCATAACCCAAGTACAAAACCTTCAACTTATAGCCTATGTTCTATTTTCGAAAACTTAGAAAAACATATTTAATACAAGTTAAATTATTCTCACTACAGATGTTTAATTATTAATCTAACCGTTGAAATTAAAATATTATATGTCTTGAGTCTATTCTCCAAATTTTGGCTTGATCTAACGGTGAAAAAAATTTAAAAATGATACTTTACTACTCAGTGTTCTATCCATAAAATCTGAAAATAAAGAGTTTAATGCATATCTAGTAACTCATACCTCAGATATTGAACCACTAATCCAACCGTTGAAATTGACGAAATAGATGTCTCGGACTGGAAGACCAAATTTTGGCCCGATCCAACGGTTTACGGACCTGTACATGGCGCTTTATTGAGACAGTCTCAGTTTTGTGCGAAAATATTTAACTTATTCTTAATTCTTCTCTACTACCACCTATTTATAGGCTCATAGAGCCTCATCTTCATATCATTTAGTCGATGTAAGACTTCTTAACCTTTTTGTTTTATTTATCAGTTCATATATAAATAGTTATATATACACATACATATAATCATAAATATTTTAATTGTTTATATATATAATTAACCACTATTAAAGTGATGTCAATAAATATTTACTCACAAATTTACTTAAGTCTTAGAGATTAAAATTAAGATGTTACAGTGCCTGCACTCAAATCTCAAGATTTTAGGTCTGCATCATTAGGCCCACGCACCACCAGAAATTCTTCTCGAGCAAACCTATGGGACTGGTTGAGATAATGGGACCAACTGTGTTGGCATAGGAGAGGAGAAGAGGAAGGAAGATTTTTATGTTACCTGCTGGTTTATACAGAGATGCAGGAACGCTAAACGCACGCGGGTAGGCAACTGGATTTGGATTCCTTATATGCTAGAGCTCGTGCTATTGTTCACTACATAGCACAACTACGTGAGAAACTGACCGCCAACTCCACAATGTGGAGCCCACTAACGGCCAAGAGTTGGTAGAAGTAGCCGGTGCTCATCAAAAACTCATCATATGTGAATCACTTAAAAATGATATTATTTTAAAATCTTTAATTAATTATTTTAAATAAAAAACTATTTTTTTAAAAAAATGATAGTTAAGATATTATTTTTATTTTAGATTTCATCCATATTAAAATAATTATTTTAAACAAATAAAAATAAAAAAATCAAATTTGGACCATTCAAATGAGATATAAATGGTTCAGATCTGATGAGTTTAGGGTGCTCATAAAAACAATGAAAATCGAAACTGGTTTTAGTAGTAATAAATAGATGTTATCTTTCCTAAAATACTTTTGTTAGCAATGGGTTTTAGCTTGAACGACCATTTAATGAAACTTTTAACATGTGAAACTATTAGAAACAAAATAAATTAGAATCTTATATTTAGAATCAAGGGATATTTGGTAAACTCTAGAAACACTTATAAAAAGTGTTTTCACACAAGTTAAGACAAAATTCCTCTTACATATTTAGTTTAGATACCGTAAATTTATTTTTAAAATTATGCATTGGATTTCATCTTAATATTTTCAAATTGAATATCAAATTAATTCTTATATTAAAAAGAAGAGGTAATAGATATTAGACAAATCAAATGATTATTACCCTCCTTCACCCAAAAAAAAAAAAAATCAAATGATTATTAAGAAAAAGGAAAAATAAAATTAGCATCACCTGCTTTCTTGGTTTCTTTCTCTAACACTCACAACAAAAATTTAGGCCTGGATTTATGGAGATGCAAGGAACGTGGATTCCTTGTCATGAGAATTATCTTTTCCCGATGAATTCGCATTCTCTCTTCATTGCTTTCTCGTCCTTCCATGGTTCTTTCTTGCCGTTTCAGACTTCAGTTGAGCTCATTCTGGATATAGTACAAATCAATCCATTTCCTCCTTCGATCAAATTCAGTGTTTTGCTGGTTTCAATTTTTGTTGTCTGTTTCCATTTTGTCTTCTTTCCAATTCCAACCGCCATAATTTATTATCATTTTGTCCGTTCATCTTTCCCATCACTCTTTTTACTATTATATACAGTTTTGTCATCTCAGATAAATTTCGCACACGATCTTTCCCGAACAACTCACGCCCTGTCATTATTTGTTGGAATCATTGTAGGTTCTTCTGTTTGTCTATTTGAGATCATGAATCTTCTTTTGCTCTCTATCATTTTGTTTGATTGGTTCCCACAGAATCATGGAAACTGAAGGGGTGTGGAATTATTGTTGTTTTTGGCGCATTGATAATCGAGTGTAGGTTACAATTTCTGCGATTGTTTTTCCGACTTCTAAAGTTACGCAAATGAAGGGAGAAAAGGTGAAAGGTGGAGAAGAAGAGAAGTCACATTTAGGGGATAGCGATGTCGGTAGAACAAGCTTAGTTGTGAGCGATGCGAAAAGGGTACTTGTTGGAGCAGGGGCTCGCGCTCTCTTCTATCCCACTCTGCTTTACAATGTCCTTAGGAATAGGTTTCAGGCTGAGTTTCGATGGTGGGATAAAGTTGATGAGGTAAATTTTATTGATCTCGAAGCTGATATAACTGTGGTGTGGCCTTGTATATTATTTTTCCACCTTGATAAAGAGCGAATTAGATCGTCCCTCTTGGTTTTATCCTCGTTCATGTCACACCACAGTTATCTACTTGGTCGCGGCTTCGTATGGAGTTGATCATTTTCTCTTCTGACAAACCAGGATTCTTCTATATTCTGATGCACTTAAATTTTCAGTTCATATTACTAGGTGCTGTTCCATTTCCTATTGATGTTCCCCGCTTAAAGGATCTCGGCGTTTGTGGAGTCATTACATTGAATGAGTCATATGAGACTTTGGTTCCAACCTCGCTATATCATGTGAGTGTTCTTTTCTTTGTGCTGCACAGTATGCTTTAATTAGGGGCTTGTGCTATATCAATACTTGGTGGCTACTTTTGGTTTGAAGCTGGAATTTTTTGTTAGCATGAGTGGTTTCAAAGCACGATTTTTAATTATAAGATTTGGAAATTCAAATTTGTAAGTTGATTAGGAAAAAAAAAATAATTATTTGTCTTTGGAAGACAGAAATTTAATGGTGTTGTTTCTATTGATGCTCACTTGTAATTTGTATTTTATTATGGTGTTTTGTGTTGATATTATGTGTCTAAGCCTTGAGGAAGTGCGCATTTTGAAAAGCTCATTTAGTCACTTGAATTCTTCATGGACACTGCGGTATTTGTTCAATGGCCCTGAATTTGTTGCATCACCTTATGCTTTTTTCTGACTAGAATTTTGTTTTGGCAGGCTTATGGAATTGATCATTTGGTTATTCCTACCAGAGATTATTGTTTTGCACCGTCATTACGTGACATATGCCGTGCTGTGGACTTCCTACATGGTGAATACTGTGAAAAAAAAATCAATTATATGTAATGACATGCTACTATTTATAGGCAGATTCAATCCCCTTTTTCTGCTGAACAAAATGATTTATAATATGTGACCTTCATTGTTCACTATTGCTTAGAGTTGGCAACTTAATTACTGCCTCTGTTCACTTTTATACCGCCTTGCATGTTACTGAACCTGATCTTCCTGCATCGCATCTCCTTTATCTTGAATGATTTGTCTGTTATACCCACCCCTTTTCTCCAGAGAAATCTATGAGCTATACTATACTAATGTTTTAGTTATCAACAAACATCCAAGGGTAGACTTTTGTTTTGACAATTGGGTATGTTAAATGAAGAAAATGCGTCGTCTGGGAGAAGTACTTATGTGCACTGCAAAGCTGGGCGTGGTCGCAGCACAACTATTGTTATCTGTTACTTGGTTGGTACCGAGCCTTTAAAATGAGTGAAAAGGGAGGAAAAAGCTGTGAGATTTGCGTTCTGATTTTCAAGTTGTGACCATTTTTTCAAGAGTTTTGTTTTACTCCCTGATGATTAGGTACATTACAAGATGATGACGCCTAATGCTGCATATGATTATGTAAAGTCAATTCGGCCAAGGGTCCTACTAGCATCTTCACAGTGGCGAGTAAGCATGATATTCTTTTTTTTTTTTTTGGGTCAAAGTAAGCAGGAGATTCATTCTCTCTTGCTTTTCATTATGACCATTATGATCCCTTCTTAGTAATTGAACCTCCATTTTCAGTTTACTTGCAAAACTTATTTCACTATCGAAGCTGAAATATAATAATACTGTGAATTATGGTGTAGAAAATATTGGTTTCTTATTGTTAAGTCTTATTACTGTTCCAATATCAGGCTGTTGAGGAATACTTCCACCTTACGGTGAAGAAGACAGTTTTCTATGCTCCCACATCCGAGTTACTAGCAGCAAAAGATCTTATGGTAAAATTTGATGATGACGAGTCTGTAATTGTGACAGAATCAGATCTTGAAGGGTATGAAACAAGTATCCAATCTGGTGGTGTGGGGAGGGATGTATGGGCAGATGTAAGTTTTGTGTACCATGTTACCCTTGCTGGTCAGGCTGCTCTAGCAGGAATTTCATGGCCGTCTCAACCAAAGAAAATGAGACCCAATCATTTTCCTTTTGGTAAGGTTGTGTCATACTGAAACAATTATCTTCCATGCCCTGTGATCTCAAATACAAGGCAGAAATCTGAATGAAAATTAATTTATTCTGCAAATGCCTTCTCTTTATTGTGATGTCGAATGAGAGAGAATATAATTAAGCTCACTAATTAGGGTCTTTTTTTAAAAAAATAAAATAAAATCTTAGTCGTAGCGAAATTTTTGGTGGTTATTGGGCTCAGCAATGATCAAATTTATTCCAATACTACTGGATATTATGCAATCATATTTAAAAAAAAATGATAATTGAAGATATACAATTGAATACCCTTAGAAGCAAAAAAATTGTATACCCATAAACAATACCCAAACTTTGATTTGTTTTTTTTTGTTTAATTTGGACATCCTATGCCCATTAATATAAATATTCAATAACATGAAATATAATATGATAATTTACATGCTAATGTTGCAACAAATAATATTTATTTTAAAAAAAAGGGAAATTGCTTTAGTGTCATACTACTTTTGGGAAAATTATTAACCAAATTTAAAAACCATTCTCAAGGATCAACCGTAAGAGTTTAACATTCAAACTAGAAAAATTTACAAGCGTCTGTTCAAACACTTAACGCTTGATATTCTTACAAATAAACTGTCTGATCTTGGTGCTCATGAGTAATTTTTCAAACAGGTTCTTGGTTTCAACTGTTTCTTTACTGATTTCATTTCGTTAATTTTGACCAAACTTTTCATTTATTCTGATGGTCAGATCATTAGTTTGCTTGTGTGTGTGTGGGGAGAGAAATGCCCTGATTATTTCCCTCCGTTTCAGACAGAATCTCCATCATCACAAATGACTTTGCACAGTTTTCTTCAATAGACTTTGTTTGATACATTCACGGGCTATTAATTTCAACACAGTTTCAATATGACGATTAAAATACTTCCCCTCTGCATATTGCTTTTCACTGTAACTCACAGCCGTCAATGGAGTGGTAATGGGGTGGCTCATCATGGCTCCTTCCTCAACCTCAAATGAGGCCTAACTCTCATCCTTGAAGACGTCTGTTCCTTCAGATATGGCGCCACATATTTCTTCATATCCCCTCTGGAGATTCCTAAATGACCTCCCTTCACACCAACGAATTGAACCTTCCCTTCTTCATCCAACTTTCTTAAACCAATCCAATCCTCAATGTAGAGTTTTGTCTGCAATGCGCATCAAGTGATTTAATTTCGTAAAATTTAAAGTAAGTTCGCATTAATTTTGAAAAGTATTAGTTAATCTAATTCCATCAATACCTAGAGAAATCTATAATGTTGGAATTTTCATTACATGTCTTTCTAGTCATCGCACTAAAATGGAGCACATTTTTTGAGCTTCAGTAATACAGTACTATGTATATTACTGTCATTCATATATGCTTCTACGTCATTCTTATTTTGTCTCTCTAGATAAATCCATACAATTAGTTTCCAGGCCAAGGAAGAAAAATTTAGTTTTAAGATCATGATTGAGTCAGATTCCACTTTGAATTTAATAAATGGCAATTATACTTAATCTTCTCAGAAGGAGTGATTTTTATTACCCTTAAATATTAAAAATGAAGATAAGATGGAAATAAAATTGGGGGAAAAAAAAAAAGGTGTATCACTGGGAAAAGATTCTTTACCTTTTGGGGAGGTAGGACCGGATTGAAGGACCCATCTGGGTAATATCCAAACCAGGCAGTTTCCTTAGGTATCAAAACGGTGTCATGCTCAAACTGTTCATTAATCAAACGCATGTCAGCTTGCAATATTCTTATTGTATCAAGGAAAGCAATCTTAGACTTCAAGGACCAACTTACCATTATAAGCACTAGATTCTGCAAGCTACTGAATCTCTCCTTGTAAGTGGCATTTCTCTCATCTGGAAGTTCATTATTCAGCACAGGAAGAAACCTACATTTCTCTAAATACTTGGGGATAGCCTGAAATCAAATTAATCACTCTATCAAGGATGGGAGACACTTCAAGGAAAAAATCTAAATTGATGTTTTAAATCGGATATTGAATATGAAAGCACCTAAAAAAAGTTGCCTTTCATGATAGTTATAATTCACGACATAAAAGCAAGACACTTTTTTTCCCAGGAGAGAGGGGGAAACTCACATTTGGTAATTTGAGATAACCACTAGGAGCCAAGTGTTCCTGCAATTGAATTCAAATATGTCAGAGGAAACATGAACGAAAACAAGTGAAAAGATGATGGGACAACAAGTAAATAAACTTCAAAAGAAAAGGCAAGTTGTATTGTGAAACTAAAGACAAGGAAGAGATGATTACTTGAATGTAATCACTGTAAATCTCTGCCTTGATGAGTGCGTCTGCAAGGATGCAAAAGATGCCTGACTAAAGAAGCCAAACATCATTCAATAAAATCAAGACGAAAGCATAGGCAAGAGAAAATTGACGCTTAACTGGTTCTGATTATAAACACAAATTACAATGACATCATGAAGAAGAAAAAGCCAGCAGGATACTCACACCACATAGAGGAACTGAGGCAGTACCAGCATGAGGGCCTCCTAAGGATATAAAGTTTTTAACCTTTTCAATAAAAATGGAACAAATTGGCACGCATGAGTTGATGAATGTAAGGATAAGGATACAAAATGACTAAAAGTAAAAGAAAGAAGAAAATGGCCAAAAGGATCAACAAAATCAGAAGAACGTAAATTAGCATATCTGCAGAGCACAAGAATAAAAGATCCATTTCTATGCCAGTGATAAAATAAATTGAATAATCAAAGGAGAAAGCAAATTATCATTACCTACAGAAAAGGCATATTGTAATAAACGGATAAGAAATAGCACATGGTTGAATTGAAGATGCATTAATTCATCCATCGCAGAATACAAATACATCTATCTATTAAGAGTACCCATGCAATCCATAAGATCATGCACAAGACAGATACAAAATCGTGACGTGAACTTAAACTCATCCAATCACAATAAGTCAAGCAACGGGTCAAATTTGAGGGGGAAGTGCATGTGAAATTTATAGATTCTTACAGGGGGTGCTTCTTCACAAAACTCCACAACACCTCGGCCAATTAAGTTACCCTGTTGGGAAAAAAAGTAATTCAACAATGAGAACACGAAGATTGAGGTTAAACTGTTAGGAAAGAAAATTATGTGAGATCCATGGAAGTTAGCTAGTTGAAATATCCCTTACGAAAGGTAATACATATCTTTACAAAAAGCCAAGGTCTCCAATGACTTGATGTTCAAAAGATCATTGATGAAGCTCACTGGTGACTGAATTAAATTACTCAATCACAGTTGTAATTTAGACGATTTTAGTCAACTACCCAAGAAAACTAGTTTAATATGAATTTATCAGTAATAAACAGACCTCGGGCAACATAGTTTCTCTGCTAATGCCTAAGGCATCTAGACAATTTGTTGAAATCATTGGAGCAATGTGGTGATGTGACCGGTGCAATTTACCAATGTATCAAACTATTATTGAATACAACATAAAAACAAAGGCAAAGTAAGGAAATCCTAATCCTCGTACATCACCTGAGAGAGCCCAACAATGTTGTATCCTTCACTCAATTCTTTCTTTTCCTTCACCTGAACATGGTGGGGAACAAAGTATTCAGAGGTGTGATTAACCATGAAAGCCAGGTACAAAAGTTACCATACTACTCCAGCATATCTTTATCACCTTTTTGCAAACAATATCAGTCTGCACAAATGTTAAACAAAACAAAAAAAAAAATCAAATTATGGATAATCAATACGAGAAATACTTCCAATTCAGCAGTTCCTCTTTGGACTGATCTCTTACCTGCTCCTGCAGAGGCATAAACCAAGAATCCCATGTTCCATCACCAACCTCTCTGGACCAATAAGGCAAACCTCATTAGAAATGATAAAATTCAACCTCACACTCTATAAGATCAAGATTATAACAAAAGGGACCCTGGCTAGGGGGAAGATAATTATGTTGGACTCTTGCAATTCAATCAAGGAGAACTAGAAAGGAACCAAGCATATTTCAAACTCAGTTCCTCTATAGCATAGCAGTTAATGAAAATAAAAGACATGCAAGCATACAAGCAATATCCTTTAGCACCAGAGTATTTGGACAGTAGTTCAGTAAATTGTGCCACCCCATGGTTGGAGCACTGATCTCCAATACCTGCAGCACAGATCATTGTGATATAAGTCTCAAGTTGCTAAAACTAAAACTATGGAGAATTAAAGAAAATTACAAGTATAACCAAGTAATGCACTCAAAGAACCAAAAGGTTCAAGACTTGGGTTTGACAACATGTTAGCCAGCTGAAATCTACTATATTAGTAATTTACCCATCTAGATATCTTCAGAAATAGGATCTGTATAAAACTATAGGCAGTGTGTGAATGCAATGACGATGTATAATCCTTCATATAGTATGGACAGAACTAAAATTCAAACAGCAACCTCTCCAAATTAAGCATATTAAAGTGTAAACCAAGATAAAGAAACTAAGAATGGAGTTCATGGGACTCAGTTACAAAATAGTTATCATAGAACTAAATTATGTGAAGCAGGCAGGTATCTATTCAATGATACACTGACGTAGAACGTAATTGGGAAAGAGAGAGGAAAGAAGATAATCAGAGAGAGAATGGGAGAGAAAGAGAGAGAGCAGAGAAAGACAAGAGAGCGAGAGAGAGATTCGGAGAATAGAGTTGTCTTATTACTCAATCATCACTCATACAAGAACAAACTCGCGGTACACTGCCTTGCCTCATTTATAGAAACTGGCTCAAACACTTATAACTACCCAACTCCCTAACCAATCCCTCTTTTTGTTACAATAATAGATAGATCATACACTTCATTTTTCCTTAGATACAAAGATCATGCACTTCATCTATGTGTACAAACTTGTTTAAAATTCCAGCGAAATGGACAACACAATTACTAAAAGCCGCTGCAGCTTGAGTAACAGACCTGAAGAGCTTTGAGTTTTAAAAATTCTGCATGCATATATAGCTTTTTACTATTCACCCTACAAGAAAGCCTTCAGATAGTCTCAAGCATAATTCCTCTTTCAGTCGATTAAACACCACCAACAAATAGCATAGAAGTAAATAATCAATTTGTAAACTGCATATTGACAACAAAAGATTTTGCAACTATAAACTTCGAAAGGGTCGATATGAGTGAGATGGAAACCATATAGGAACTCCTCAATATTTCTTCTGCTAATCTAGACTTAGTTTTCCCGCCAATAAAAAATAGTTAAAACTTAAAAAAGTGCAGACAAGGCACAAAACTTTCATAAATATTATATTGTCAGTCAAAGACAGTTACATATATTGTTGACCACCATGAACAAAAACGAAAATGCCACTGAAATTGAGCTGAATGAACCGAGCATAGGAAAATTCGTCCGATGACAGTCAAAAGTGGAAGAACTCAGAAACCCCACTGTTGCTCTTCCGGCAGATGCGGGCAGTTAACGAATGAAAATCAGACCAGAAATTACGAGTACCAGAAACAGATCGACAATAAGAAAAAGGGGGAATCTAATTGATTATAGAAACAAGAAGGAAAAACTAAGGTCAAGCAACTACCATGAAGAACAATAAAGGGTATCGAATTGGTTAGTGGAACAGAGATGAAGACCAGCGTGAGGATGAAGAAGAAGGATGATGATGGAGGAGCCATCCCCATCAGTAGGAAGCTGGTGAGTGTCTTCTCCAATCCAACTTCCAGTCTTCCAGAACAATTTGGGCCCTCGCGAAATTACATTGTATACCTCGTCTGTTGTTTTGTAGGTGGCCGAGCAATGCACAACCCGACATTTTTAATTTTCCCTGCGATATCACTATGAAACGATGACGCCAATTATGATTTAATAAAACATCAAAATATGTACAACTTTTGGTCTCAACCCCCAAGAGAATTATTTTATGGCTGATGAGTTTGTCAAATTATCAGATCAGATGACAGAAAATTATATTGCATTTTGATCACATTTCATTAAAAACTAAAAAAAATGACTGTTAAATTTTAAAATTTCAAATTATGAATTATTATAAAAATATATTATCATTTGCTTTTTTAATGTAGTTTTTTTTTATGAGTGTAATAACTAATACTGATTTAGAATTTTAAAATTCAACAATTATTTTTTTGGAATTTTCCCTTGTTCTTTTATGATTAGTAAATATACAGTTTTTATTTTTATTTTTTAAAAAGTCTGTTCCCATTTTAATTTTGGTCTTTTAATTTTTTTTTCATTCAAAATACTAATCTCTATAATTTAATAAAAATTTGGATCATTTTTATTTTGAGAGATCTAAATCTATGATTCAAAATTTAAGAGATTAAAACCAAAATAAAGACAAATTTGAGATACTCAAGATTTTATTAACCTTATTCATCAATGAAGATGAAGGCTGGAAACTAAAAGTAATAGTCCATGGAAGCCGCCGAGAATAATATTCTCTCCAATTCTTAGACATTTAATAATATTTTACATAAAATAATAAAATTACCTAAACATCACTTATTTCTTTTAAAATATCACTCTTAATGAAAGTGATTACTTAGAAGAATTTGATTAATTAATTAGAAAGTTTAATAGTTAAAATAAAAATACAGGTAAAAAAATTAATATTTCAAGCAAAACATATTCTATTATAAAATGAAGGTTGCAAACTAAAAGCACTACTCCAGGGGATTTTGTCTTTACATATGACCCACTCAAAATCAAAGAAGGAAGCATAGGTTGTGTGCATCAAGTCTTCTATTCCAATAACACTTGACCACTTTTAAGTGTTTTCCTAATATATGTGAAGTTAATAAGTTTTTTTTTTTTGGGTTAAACATAGCATTATCCAATTTGAGACAATTCTGTTTAAGATGCTATTATTGGGTATTAAATAAAAATACCTTTCTCAATATAGATTCGAACTACTTCTCTCAATGTGAATTCCAACATTGACTTGTCATTAAAAAAAAAATGGTATGCGTAGACGCGCATTTATATTCAAAACAAAAGGGTCAATTATTAGGCAGGGCTAAGAAAATTCTAACCCAAAATATTGTGGACCTACCCACTTTGTCTCATGTTCCACACGGCTCCTGATCATGATACCCCATTTTGTACGCTGTACAATTGAAGTCGGAGCTTCCCATATTACTCTCCTCAGTAAAGATTGGGTTCAGAAAATGCTAGTCTTTTACAATACGACCAATTCATGTTCAAAGTTTTCATTAAAAAAATGTTCACATTTGATATCTAATGTAAGCCTGTACTTTTGATGACAATTTGGGTTCGGGTGAAAGATAATTTCTCGTTAAAAGCTTGCGAGGTCAAGCAAGATGGTTCCTCGCTATTAATAGTCTCTGATTATGACGATAAATGCCAGCATTGTCATATAAGTTGCTCCTTTATTCTGCCCAATAACAAACCTCCTACCTATACCATTGCCACGTATGACTTTAAACTTCCTGTCGTGTTGGACCCGAAAATTAAACTTTGCTTGTCACGTTGAGGGACCCACCTGTGATGTTCTCTTTCACGAGTTCCCAGGATTTTCTCCTTTAGGATGTCTCAAAGGATTTGGGGGAAAGGGAGGAAAAGGATAGATGGGAACAAAAATACATTCCCAAGTCAGATACATGATACCTTACAAGATAAGCATCAAGAAACTACATGAGATCTTCACTTTTGTTTCGCAATTACAGAGGAACAAGATAACCTTTCTTTATCTTCTACAACATCACATGCTATATATCTCAAACTTCACGAAATATCCAAAAAAAAAAAGATCCTTCTACGAGTTCCCACCGCTAGGATCACGATATTCTGTACTAAAATTCAAAAATTTACCCATTATGTGCTCTAATTCTCACAGGCTCTGTAATAACCGATCTTCTTTCTCCCCAGAATTCGTCCCTGACCACTGAACCTTTATGCTTACCAGTATCGCCATCACAATCACAAAGACGCAGATAACTACAACTGCACACAAACATAATGACTATATCATCATGAAGTATAGATTCTAACGTAAGCTTTATCGAGTTGAAAGAACCAAAGATTGCTGGAAGAATGAAAGAAACTTATTTTACCTGTGTGCTCTGTTCTGGTTTCTTGAAGCAGAGGTGAGTCCCAGGTTAATCCGAGACCGAGACTGTTGTCGGCGAGGTAAGGGGAATATTCGAAGGGGACCGCAACGGTTTTGACTGCTACACAAGAAGCAGGCAGAGGCAAGGAAGGGTCAACTGTGTAGACATGAAAGTCGGATCCACTCATACAAGGAACCTCCATGAAAGGACGGGAAAGGCTGGTCGAACAGTTCAGATAAGTGTAGTCCTTGAGAACATAGAAGTAACGAAAGGGGGGTGAGAGAAAGATCGAGATTCAGAAACACGTGGTGGACACAGTTTCTGGGGTCAAGAAGATTGATTCTTTTGGTGGGGTAGGAAATTGATTTCACCACCAAATCATCGCCATAAGAAGGAAAGTAATCTTGGTGAGATTCTTTTCACAGAACAGCTCGAAACCAGAGGGAACCTCGCACGACTTGGACTGCTGAGGTTGTTGCGGATTCAAACGAAAAGGATAGGAAATACGAGGAGCGCCATTACTGCAACTTGAAGCAGGGGGATTTGCAGAAAGGAAGTGAACAGAGTTTTGGAAGACTGAAAACCAGAAGAGGATGAGGAAGATGAATGGAGGCATGGTGAGTTTGAGAAATGAAGGAGGAAAGAACACAACGACGACGACGACTTGGAATGAGTCCTAGTTTAATGTTCCAGGTTGGTACATAAATGGTTGGTTATATATATACACAAAAACATGTACATATATATATATATATATAAAGCAGACCAAGTAAGAATTTGGTTTCTTGCAGACCCAAACAAACACAGGTAGATACTAAAGTTATACACTTTTGAGGTGGGGGCACATTTATAATTGCCAATTCGTGAAAAAGAACGGCAACAAGATGCCCTTCGAGTTGTTTTAATTTAAAGTATGGCTTCTAGAGTTTGCGCAAAATGCATATTTAAGGAAGAATTGATAATGAATAAATAATGGAAGGTTAGGTGTAAGATTAAAAATTAATTTCGGGCAAAAAAAGAAGATTAAAAATTAATTAGGGGATGATAGAATAGAATAGGAGGGTAGGGTTCAAGGTTGACCAAGTGGCTGCTGATTGACCAACGTGGCACGAGGATTTAATATTTGTGTCTTATTCACTTGACTTGGGAAGTTTCCCGTCTACTGTGATAATGAGGTGGTTGTACATATCTCTCCGTTGTAGACGATACAATAAATAAAAGTATGTAGAATTAAAATTTGAAGTACGGCGAAATTAATTAAAGTACTAATTTTTGAAAACAAAGTATGCATTTAATTCTTATACTCCTTGCTACTACTCCGATCTTATATATAAGTTTCAAATTTAGATAGAAATGTAGTACATTTTATAAGTTTCAAATTGGGTTTGTCACAACATTTAAGGCATTTTTCAATATTATCTTTAATTATTTTTCTTTTATCACATATCCTCATATATTCGCTTTCATCTTTTTTCTCATTTATTATAAAAATATATTTAAAAAATACATATTTCTAACGTATTTACTGTTTTCAGTTAATTTAACTACTTATTTATTATTCGTGAATTAGTTATTTGAAACTTATAAGAAAAATTGAAAGGAGTAATTACTTTAAATATTTAATATTTATCATCAACCCTTAATATGTAGCCAATTTTAATTTTTTTCTGATATTTTTTTGAGATTTTCTGTACTAGGAATTATAATTATCTTACCTCCAATTTGTTATTGTTTGTCATAAAGCTTACGGTTTCAAAGTAAATAACTAATCATATCAATAAAATTCAAGGGCAGAGATACATTCATTATCTTAATTTTATTTTCCAAGGACATCATCCCCCCTGATATATTTAGGATCCTAATCTGATCTTTAGTGCCTGAAGTGCTAAATGCGTTAGAAAAATAAAATCAGTGTGTTAAATATACCCAAAAAAAGATTATAATATTAATACAACTGAAAATAAAACTATGGGACTAGATGCACCTTTAATCAAAAGTCAATAAATACTTTCCAAATCTTAATAAATAAAAATTAAAAATTACAATGATTTGTGAGGATTAAATTATATAGCAATAAATAAACGTAAAAATTCACACGGGAATAAACAGAAGATAAAATAAAATTACAAAAGTCAAAAGTTTAATTTGTTCCCCTGAATTTGAATTTGTCCATATAAACCCCTACACAGATAATTTCATCCATCCGTACCCTCTGTGTCTCTCTCACACACACTCCTTGATAACACTTGGTCCTACGTGAGCCGAGAGCAAGGATTAGCTATTAAGGAAGTTGTCCGGAAAAAGCGAAGGAATCCAATGCACTTAGCTTGCCACCTTTGCGTGTTACTTTAATTCACCCGTCCAAATCTCGCCTTCCCGTGACCCCAACCTCCATGCAATGTTTCCAAACACAAACAGCAATGAAAAGCACCAGAAATACAAGACAACTGTTCCATCCTTTATACAGAGGCCCAGGCTCATCACCATCAGAACTCGTCCTCCACACACCTTCAAAGTTTTATTTGACTTCAACTCCCAAACCATATTAGAGCGGAATCACAATAGATATATATATGTGGGGGGGGGGGGAATTTACACAGAGTTGTGGATTTAGGGAGTAAAGTTGTAGCCTGCCTAGCACTTGTACACCCCAAAAAAGCGGGGGGCATACACAAACACACAAGGCGGGGGTGTACACAAACACACACAATACATAGCACACCTGAGCCAGAACATTTTTGCTTTTTGAAATCTAATGACTTCTATAAGAATTCAGACAGCCCCTCCAGCTTTAAGGGGGCTGGACATTGGTTGAACAGATTATCTTCACACGTCACTGTACTGTTAAATATGCCTTTTGCTTCTCCAGATAGAGCTGTTTGATAAGCTTGTCACCAGGGTGAGCTGCGATTGTATATACGAATATGATGCAAACCGAACAAAGAATAATATAATCACAACACGACAGGAACTGATAAAATCAAAGAAGCTCCCGAGCTAGCCGCACCGGTTTTTCCTTTAGAAAGGCTACGTCACCACTAGATGCTGTTAGCAGATGGTGATTTGGCTCCTCCTCTTCACTTTCTATTGATGCAGACAACCCAGATTCTGATCCTTCGTCATCTGCAATATGAAGGCAACATTCCATTGTTCTAATCCCCAATGATCATGCAAACCAGTTTGAATAATTTATATCACACAAATGAATGCATAAAACACAACCCCAGAGAAATAAATACTCTGCTAAAACAAATTGATTTCCAAAAGCACCAAAAATAAACCTTGAGATTTTGAAGAAACAAATCAATATACATCTAGTTCAATAATTAACTTGTCAAATTTTTATGCTGTCGTCCCTGTGGTTTCCAAAGATGTGCCAGATCGTCTTCTAATGTTCACAGGGAAAGAAATAAGATCCGTGCCAACTTTGTTTCTTTTTGTATTTTCATCGCAGATGTGCGTATAATTTCAAGATTTTTCACTTAATCCTCACTATGTTGTGCAAAAAATATTGAAAACATGCTGGATATGTCACAAGCCATCTGCACTTCCATAATAGAAATTTTCCTCCTTAGACTGTGAATAAAGCCAGATCATAGAGAGTATTGTATGACAAGGTTGCTTGCGTATCTTACCAGTATATGTTAGACGTTCAGGAAGATGTCTAACTGCAGCAACCTGAAGGCTTTCTGGCAAAAGACAATTGCAGAAAGAACCTGAAAGTTTAAACTATATATCATCAGATGACAAAAATAGTAGCATCTGGAATCACTAGGTTCACAGAAATTCAAAAATCCAGCCTATCATAAGCAATTGCTTGGTGATGGCCCAAAAACGCTTGTATAATCAACTCCACTAATCTGAAACTCTAGTTAGCTGGGAACATAGCAGAATCTGATTCAAAATTTAGACCATATGCAACGATTGGCGACACAAACAAATGCTTATTGCGGATGCATATATGCATGAAAATGGATGGTAAGGTAAGCAACCACAGTCCTCAGTCCTCAGTCCTCACCTACACGAGCCATCCGATTTACCCATCCAGGGATAGATTTCCCAGTTAGCCGCTGACAGACTTCATCTGTAAAATGGTTGCAATTCTTGGCGATCAGATGGTAAGTATCTCCATGATAATTAGAAGAGAGGCGCTCAATGAAGCAACGAAATTCTGTACGAGACAAGTCAGTGCTGCCTAGCAACACTGATCGTCTAAAGATAAAGCCAGGGCAGCTTCTAGGTTCAACCTCAAACACTCCACTTGATGGATACTCATGTGCACCAAAGCCATATTCCATACCATGCGCTGCCCAGGAAAACATCAAGCTATATGTTTGTTAAAATTAATTAAAGTTAAAATGACAAACTAGCGCATCTAAGCTCCTTGTCAATAATTTGTTCAAGGGACATAGTTCTACTCCTTTATTAAACAGCTTTTCTCGCTATCATCTACTCTGTTGTTGGATAGAGTAACTTGGAACATTCCAAAATCGTTGCACTGAAATATGAACGAAAACTTGAATAGAAACAGGATGTTTAGTGGTGAGGTGAATAAGATACCGGCCAAAAAGGAATACTCCCTTCATTAATTATACTTTAAATGGTCATCCAAGTTTCCCCTACTGACCATATGTTGTGATAGGGGTCAGGGACACTACAATTTTAATACATCATTTGCGGTTTGTCCAAATCTCTATTTGACACTGTATGAGCTCAATGCAGGCAGATGGGATTCTCATTTACAAACTTTGACAAGAAAACCAATGGACAGATCAAAATTTTAAGGTTCACAAAGTCAATTTACCTTGAATGCTTGCATTGATGTACTGTTAAGATACTATATCAATCACAAAGTTATGATGGAATCATACTATGAATATAATCTCAAGATTCAGCAAATCTCTATCATATCATCAAAGGAGAATTACCATAAAGTCCCAAGAAAGGAATTTAATTACCAAGAATCCAAATGACAAGTGACTAGCATGAATCTGTTATCATTTCCTACTCTGAAACTTATCATTGCATGTTCTTCAGTTGTCGATAAACTTGGGATAATTTCCCTTTCTAGGGACCAGATTGTAATTTTCCCTATCATCAAAATCTCTTTCTACACAGCAGAAAATCAAAAACATATAGAGATACTGAAAAGATCTTGAAAAGGTTCAACCAAGCAAACAGAGTGAAGTCACAGTGATGCAATTGGTTATTGGAAAAAAGAACCATCACGACTTCTTCCTTGAACAGAAAACTCAAATATCTAAATCAGATTCTTTTTTTTTTTTTTTAAACGAATATCAATTAGGCCCCCAAAAAAACTTTGATCCACTTGGCAAATGAAACAAAAAATTAATTCAAATGGAAAGTCACAAATTTAAAACAATAGCAAGTCATCTCCTAAATTCCCAATTGAACCATAAGGAAAGATATGTTCAATCAAATCCCAGATGAGCATGCCTGAGATAACAGCAAAGTCAGTAGTCATAAATATCATGTATGTTCTTGATGTAAAAGTTATGAAATTTCATATGTAACAATGTACATAATGCGATGGAAGCAGTTTAAAGCAAATGGAAAGGTGAAGTTCTCCGAGTGTTCAAGAACTATGATAAAACATGCTAGAAAATTAAATGTGAGGCGAACAAGAGTTGCTATGGTGAATATGGGAAGTAGTGAATATCGGGCGTTGCAAGGACAAGAGAAAGCAAAAGGTGTAGCTAAGATGGGAATGTTAAAATAAATGTGTGGCCATACACAAAAGACAACATCCGTAATGATTGTACACAAACAAAAGTTGCTATGGTATCTATCAAAGAAAAGGAATAATATAATATCAATTAAGGTAGTCTAGACATGCTCAAATAAGCCACTAAGGCGCTAACAAAGAAAGCAGAGTGGATGGCCTTTAAACCTCTGAAAAAATGTACATACCATGAAAGACACTCAGAAGTTATTGAATGAGATCTTATCATAAATAATATATCTGGAGAGTTAATAAAGCATAATTGCACTGAGTGATTCATGCAGAACACCTAGAATTCTTTTTGTGCCTGTGGACTCATCATCCAACATTATTATGGTGGATTACTGTCGAATTTCTATAACACGATGAGATGATAAACCAAAGTAATGGCAGCTTAACCTCAACTGCATTCAACATTTTCAAACCGCACTTCTTGACTGGATTTCTATATCGAAATTTCCATTACGCATGAGAAAGTAAGACCTTTCAATTCAACTACTATTTCAGTATTTTTCATTTCATTTTCTTTTAACAAGCAAATAACACACCATTATATCTTAGTAATGTGCTGTGAGTATAAAATAATGATCTTACAACGCAGCTAAATTTCACAGATGAGAAAGTATGAAGCTGGCACATATCAAGAGAATCATGTAAACGTCATAAAAGTATGAAGATGACACATATCAAGAGAATCATGAAAACGTCATACCTTCTATACCCGAATGAAAGATTCCAAGCCCGAACAAGTAAAGATAATTGTTTATAGGCGTAAGGTCATATACATTGAGATAAACCACAGTACGACTCTTTTTCTCACTATTTTGCTCCCTCTCCGAGCTCAAATTCGTGCTAGAGCTAGAGCTCAAGGGGAACAACCGCATCGTGAGAAATTTCTTCACCTCCTTCAGAATCCTTCAACTATATGCTCAGAGTCAAAAACCCATACTCTTTGCGAAGAAGCCCAGCCTGTGAAAACATTAGGGGAAAAAAAATTAGGCATATCATTATCAAGCACCGACTTGCATACAACAAAATCTAAATTCTATTTTGGTTGGTACCCAAAAGTAGAAGAAAAAAAGGAAAGCTGAAATAGTTGCTTAATTGTGAAACTGAAGCAAAGCAAGCGGGGGCTAAGTAAGATCAGGTGAGGATCAGAGTCTCAGCCACTTTGTTTTCCTAAAATTCTTGTATGGAAATCTCAAAGTCGGAATGGTGGGCATATCAAGCAAGATAAGAAGCCCTAGAAACTCAAAATTCAAAGCAGGATCTGGCATTGGACAATCAACTTGATCAAAAAGATTGAGCAAAGAAAAACAAAGTTATGAAGAAGCATAGGACTTGAAAATTGAAGAAGGATTTGGAACAATCAGCCTCACGAAACAATACAGAGGGACTTTACCTTACCAAGAAGCCAGAAGCTAAATCACAACGATTGTGGGTTTCAGATCATTCACCGCCATTTCCCAGCAAGGGAACTAAATTTTTGGGAAGCAGCCATTATTAGATTTAAAAAAAAAAAAAAAAACACAAGATTACGAGAGTTTCCATTTTCTTCTGTCATCATGGTCTGTGATTACTCTTTTTTTTTTAAAAAAAAATCTGCAATAGACTGTGATTACTTTATAGACTTTTATTGAAGCTAAGATGACTTTATAGTCTATAGACTTAATTTAGACTTATATTGAAGTATTCTGACCAAAAAAAAAAGACTTAAATTGAAGTATTGTGGGTCCGCCCCGCATAAAACAATGAGGCTCACAATTTATAATAAAACCGTTTGTTAAAATTTTATATTATATATAAAATATTTAATAAATATTACCTC